TATTTGTCAACCATAACATCAAAAAATGTTAAACCAACATCGTCAAATTCAAATATAACCAGAACAATTGGTTTATTTTGCTACCACCTCCACCTCTCTTCTCAATCTGTTGAAATACGAAATTATATTTTTAACTAAAAAAATTTAACATTGTGAATTTAATCATATATTCATCTTTCATCTTGAATTCCATTTTTTTTCAATTCTAAATTCAAATCTGGTAGATAATAAGGTGTACTTGAATTCCTCTTTCTCAATATCATTTGATTTTTATTATGAAAGCAAATTGCTGCAGGCATTAGATTTTTGGCTGTAAAGAAATGCAAAAAAAGAAAAAGAGTCATCAATAATTTCCAGCTTTTGCTAAATTTAGATGATCGATCCTTAAAAGTAATTAAATACTTCCCAATTCTTTCATTGGAGAACTATAGCATTTAGCTTACACTTTAGCTCATTAACATTCCGGAATTCCCATTTTCATCATTTTAAAATATTTTTATGTTTTTCCCATTTCTGAAATTTCTTCCATCCTTTCACGTTTTTACATTTTCTTTTACTGATTATAATCTCTAGCTGTCTCTAATCATTCAATTTATCAAATGGAAAAGTTGAAAATTTCTTATTCATTTCTGAAATTAATTTTCATTCTCATAAAATTATTGTTCGAAGTTCTATTTCAATAAATTTATGTATTACGCAATAATAAAAGAAAAATATTTCCCTTTTTGAAACAATAAAAATTTTGCACCTTTCAACTTGGCCGCACATAATTTATTATTTTGTTCGCCAGACGCTTTGCTTATTTCTTAATTAATCATACATTCCTCAATTTCACTAATAGTTTTTCTGAAAAAAAGTGTCTTACTTAAACTAAAATATTTTTAACGATCGAAATATTTGATTATTAGAATTATAAGAATTCACATAAATTATGCGATTCATAAATTGGTTGAATCTTTTTATTTAAATTTTAACTTTCAAATAACAAATATTCAATTTAGAAAATCAATTTAAATGAGCGCAATATTAATCAAAGTTAAATTTTAAACAATTTCATGAAAATACTTGGAAATGATCATAGAAAACATTAATTTTCGTAATTGGTATTTTTTTAATTAATGAAGACCAATGAAATGAAGAAACTCTGAAATAGAAAATATTTCATGCAGAAAGAAACTGATGAAATTTATAAAAAAATTCCCAAAATAAATAGAAAGTTGGAAGATCTCATCAAAACTGTTGCATTGAAGAGAAAAGAAAAAAGGGAAGAGTTGCTGTTAATTGACATTAAACCACTCATACCTGTACAAGGTCACCATCTGTGACGGATCGTTTCATCTGTAAATTTTGCTCTTGACAACAATGATTCTTCCTTTTTATCTTTCCTCGTCTTGCTTTATTTTTTTTACTTCCACGGCTTGTTGGTACAGTAATTTCCAGTTTCTTGCTTAATTTATATTCTGTTTTGCTCTCAAAAATCCCCCGCTTCCTCCTAGACTTATCACAAGTCTTTTGTTTTCATTATCAGGATCGATAATTTAATTTAACCAAGATGTTTGACTTACTTATGAAATTTGTTAGATCAGAATTTGAGTGCATCAAAAAGCCATTATGAATAAGTTTATTTAAAATGAAATTTAACTAAAGCATCAATAGCACATAAATAGTTATAGATAAAACTTTCACACAATTTAACTTTATGCTATAGAATTTTTTTCAATATTAAAGAAATTACTTGCAAATTGAATTTTAAATTTATTTATGCAATGATTATGTCCACACATGTTATAACAACTCTGTTGACCTGATATGATAAGTTTATTTATAGTTTTTTTGAAATTATCTGTTTATTTTATCTATGATTGAATATTAATCAGAGCTTTTAATTTTTTTTCTTTTGTTTTGATAAGTAAAATGGATTGATACTGACTGTTATCATTATGATTGTTGTTTTGTTATCACATGATCATTCAAGCACCCATTCATCTTTCAATGAAATCTGTGGGATATTTGCGTTGGTTCATTAAAACTTGATTAAATCACAACTTAATTACTGACAAATTACAAAGTGTGGAACAGCATTTTCGATAAGTTTTTAAACTTTTTAAGTTTGTATTAAAATGATACATTATCATTATAGTCGTATTATTATCATCGTTGTCACAAAAAAGAGATTTCGTAATTTTTCTCTCTCTCTCTCTTTCTCTCTGTAAATTTCCTTTTGATTTGAAAATGAATAAGCTAATCAAAAGAGAGCATTGAATAATAAGAGGGAGAAAAAGAGAGAGAGAGAGGTAAAAAAGAAGAGAAATGACAGAAAGGTAAAAAAAGAATGGAGGGAATTATTTATGGTATTTCAACTTTTCTTCATTGCTATTCGAATTACTTATGTTCCATACCTTAAAAGAAGCACATATCATATTGCATCTCTATCCCATTCTTATCACTGCTATTCACCTCATCTTATCTTTTATCATTACATTTTGTTAATTTTCATAAATTATTCATGAAGCATTTTCTAATAAAGGATGTCAGCATTACGCCCAAAATTTCGCTCGCTCTTTGACATCCACAAAGCAGTAAATATATGTATTTTGAAGGAATAAAGAAGACTGGAACAGATGTTACAGCCATCATAATATGAGTATACGACGAGTTGCGCCTTGCCAAATACGGTACGATTTTTCTTCTTCTTACATTTGGTACATTTTAACTTCTAATTCTTTATTTTTTTGAAGATAATTAAAATATAAATTTTGAATAAACATGTAAGTATAGTTTATTATGAAAACTGTTAAAACCGGAATGAGTGCGCAGAGATTTTTCCGATATTGTATAATTAAGTACTTATGTGAATATGTATTCAAATTTCTTTTTTTTGTATGTATTTTTTGATTGTTGATATGACTAAATTGTTTAATGCAGTTAAATAATAATAGCTTATTGGTATTGTTTTATGGAAAGAATGGCGCTCTAAACTAAATAATAATAATAATAATGATGGCGTTGTCAATTGTTTACTGCTGTAAAGTGATCCCACGGGAGGAGTTGCCTGAAGTTTTCATTTCAGAAAAGAAGTTCAGGAAACGAAAGTAAGCATAAAGATGAGCAAAAGACAGATAACATTTTGAAAAAGAGTATGAAAGAGAGTGAAAGTGATGGAAGTTTGGTGTGTGATAATAATTTGAAAGCATTTCGTAAATTGAAGAGTACTTTTGCCTTAGTTTATTTCGGCTGGTTCCATCACTAGCAAGCTCAACAGTGTGGTATTGATACTGGAGAGCTAGTTAACCTGACGATAGCAACAGCAATAGCAGCTGTTGTTCATCTTTTCAATTTTCTCATCTAGAATATTTTAATTTTTATCATCATCACTGATAGAAAAATCACTCCGTATCATTCCTTCTATTTTTTTAATTCTAAGTTCAATTCTTATTCAAAGGATTAATTCATTCCATTTTCTCTTATTTAACTAATATGAACGATCATTCTTACTTGCTATTCCATTCCCATAAATCTTTTTTCATATTTATTTTCTAATTTCTGCAGATTTCTATCAAACAATCTGTAGAAACTATTTCTGGCCTTACAAATGAGGCCAGAGATTAGGCTAAAGCTCAGATTCATGCTTAATTCATTTCCATTATATATCTTGCTGACGAACTTTGTTGTAATAAAGTTCTAAATAAGTTCAATATTTTTTAAACCGCTTATTTTTTGATTTTAAAATTTATTTGAAATTCAAATTCATTTTTTGATTTTTATGATTTTCAAATCAAAAATTTTATCTCTTAAAATTATATTGTTCATGCCTAGAACGAAAAAAAAACCGGAAACTGAAACAGGAAAAATATATCATATTTCAGAAAAAGGTGATGAAAAAGTGAGGCTAAGATAGTGACCTAGTTGTGTAATAATCATCGAAAAAGTACTTTATATTTATCAGAAATGATAAATGAGACATTGACAATATGAAATATGCTTTATCATCACTATGCTAATCAACTACAATACCTTTTGATGTCAATATCATTTTAAAGGAATCAATTTTGGGTTTGTCATAAATCCCTTATTTATTATTAGTAAAGGGAAAACTCAAAAGGGCGAATTTGTCGAAGTATTTCCTTCTTTCCATTTTTTTCGCTTTTCATTTGGAAAAATGCGTATTAAAATAATTTTTGTTATTCCACGGGGATATCATTTTTTCCACATCACATTCCTTTTTTTGCATATCAATTTGAATTCTCTGAAAGGCAGCAACAGCCAAATGAAGTTGGCTTATATTTCCTCAATTAGCATACATAGAAATTTTTCACTCCTTAAGTGTTTCTTAAAATTTTCAAAAGTGCAAATTCGAATATTTGGTTAGGTGACACAATCTTTAAAAGAACTTTCCTACTTCTCTTTCCATATAGGAATTTATTTTTAAAATTTGAAATGAAAATAATAAATTGTCAATGTTGAATATTTCATTTCTAAAGTTAATAATAACCTAAAATATTTGTACTGATTTCGGTGCACTTCTTTTATTTATACTTTCAGTATCCATTTTTCTGTGTCATTCCTTTTTCCTGCCAGATATGAAAGATGAACTTATTGCTTTCATAGAATATGCTTTAGCTATCAATGACTCTCACTACATTTTCTCAATAACTGACAATGTTAAATTTTTCTTAGCAATAAAATTCACAAAATATTGGAAAGAAATTCAGAGAAATAAATATAGTAAAAGCTGAAATGACTAAAATCTTTTTTATTGGTAAATAACGCGCCTGCCTGATAATATTTACTTCCCTCTGCCAGACAAAAATTGATTGACCTTTGACCGGAGCTAAATATGGCTGAATAATAGTATTCCGCTTCTTCACAATTAATCTTTTTTGAAAAAAATGCACACATTATCCTTCATATTATATGCTGCTTTAAATTAAATTTCACAATGATATTCAACTTCTGCAATTGTTTTTAGTTTTGAGTTTTGATGTTTTTCAGATTATAATATGTTTAAATTGAAAAATTGGTTATTTAATATTGATTTAACTTTGAACGCAATTTATATAACTGAATGTTATAGAACAAATATAGGTGGACCAGGTAGCGGAATGATACCAAAGGGAGTTGGTGCTCCTCCGCCACCTGGAATGGATAATCGTCGTGGAAAATTGATGTGTATCAAAGTTCGCATGCTTGACGATTCTGTTGGTGTATTTCATTTAGGGGTAAGGATACCTATTGTATCCTATATTTAACTCGTACAAACATTAGATAATAGCATTGTTTTTATTTGTTAAATTTTGAAGTTGAATTAATCTAATTAATCAAATAGCTGATATTTGCCATCAAGTCGGAAATGATCATAAAGAAGTAGAAATTGCAACCGCAAAAATGTTAATGAATAGCGGAATATTTTATTTAGCAAAAAGAGAATGTCATCCATTCATTAGTTACTGAGATTTAAATTATATTGCATTAAATAAATTTAATTTGAAATGAATTATACTGAAATCAATTAATGCTGCAGCATAAAGCACTTGGACAGGCATTATTCGATGAAGTATGCCGTCATTTAAATTTACTGGAATGTGATTATTTCAGTCTTGAATTTACCGACTGCTACGGCAATCGTGTATGTTTCATTTTATTAATTTTAACTCTTAAAGTCTTGAATATTCAAGGCAGAAGTATTTAGTTGAGATAATTAAACTATACCTTGTTTTGTTTCTCTCTTCTAGTTGTTATTGCCAAATATAAATATATGTGTACATACATGTTATTTCTGAATGGACTTTCAGTGTTGGTTAGACAAAGATAAGCCTATCTTACGACAAATTACCACAACTCGTAGCGATGCTCGTTTCTATTTCATCGTTAAATTTTACACACCAAATCCAGCGGATCTCGTTGAAGAATATACGAGGTGTTTTTTTTGGATGATTTTTGTGAAAATCTGCCAATGTTAAAATAATAAGAGAAACTATTCATTGCATTTTAAATCATTTTAGTTGATTTTGATTTATTAATTCGATCATTGATAAAATTAATAAATGAAAATTGATTAATGTACTTTTTCATGATTATATCAATTTTACAATGAACTTTTCTTTTTTCTTATTTTTTTTATCTTTATGTTAGACTGATTATTTTATGTTAAATCTTAACGTTATCTTTATTAAAGCATATCTTTTTTTACTTTCATTATTATTTGAATAATCTAATATAAACATAATGTTGATTAATAAAAATGTTTCCTGAGGAATTCATCCTTTTTTCAGGTATTTATTTGCCTTACAAATTAAACGCGATCTTGCAATGGGTGAATTATTATGTAATGAGAATACGGCTGCCCTTCTGGCTTCATATATTGTCCAGTCGGATTGTGGTGATTTTGCAGCTGAAGACTATCCGGATGATAGTTATTTGTCAAGTGCACGATTTATGCCAAACCAAAGTACCGAATTCCAGCGAAAAGTTATGGAAAATCATATGAAATTGATGTATGGGTGTTTAAATATTTCAAGTTTTTCTCGAACGAATATGCTAATTTAATTTTTCTTAATCAGTGAAATTTTACAAAAAGAAATGATAATTTTAAGGATAAAATTTTTCTACGCTTACCCATAAGAGAAATTCATTTGAATTAAATGATACTATTTAGACAGTGTAGTAGTTAATTTAATACCTGTTTTGATACAGATCAATCAATCGTTCAATCAGTCATAGATACAATTAAATTATAATTTATTAATTGCTGCATTTATGAGATTTCATTTTGCTTAAATAATGTTATATACAAGTAGGAATCTGAAACATGTCAAGTATAATTTAACTGTTATTGTAAAATGTTTAAATTTAAATTATTTATGTGATCTGAAATTTTGGAGCTATGAAAATTTCAGTGGTATGAGTCCCGGTGAAAGTGATTTGACTCTTCTTGAAACGGCACGACGTTGTGATTATTATGGTGTGAAGTTGCATGCTGCTAAAGTATGTTTATTTATTTTTTGCCAAATACAAAGTTCAATTAAAAAAATAAATTAAGATAATAATTAATGGTATTCCGATATTTTTTCCATTTGATAAGACTTGATAGTTGATATTGATAATTGATATTAAAAGTCTTCTTAAGTGTGTTCATCAATAGATTTTCATTATGTGAAGACAATTAAACCTTAATAAAAGTTGAAAAATCAATTTAAAAGTATCATTGAATTTATAATTTGTATTTTTATATATTCACCAATTTCTCGAAATAAACCAAATTTGCAGGATGTGGAAGGCACCGAAATAAGCCTAACAATAGCTCATATGGGTATTCGTGTATTTCATCAGCTTCAATGTGTTTCTACATTTTCTTGGGCTAAAATCCGGAAGCTATCATTTAAACGTCGCAAATTGCTGATAAAGCTACATCCAGAAAGTCACGTAAGTTATCTTCCTGAAATTGTGTGTCCATTAAAAAAGAAGTCATCTTAAATTTCAATTTTAATTGAAATTTTGAAAAAATTTTGATCATTTTTTAAATACAAAATTTTTTTCCAATTGGTATGAGAAATAGATATAGGAAGACTAAATTATTTTCATTCTGATTTCTTTTCTAATCTGGGAACTAACTAATCTAAGCTAAAGTGTATATTCATTTCGCTGTTGTGAGCTATTAAAATTTCATTTCATATTTTAACTATTTCTCAAGATAAATAGCCATAGTTATGTGTAAGACAGAGATTTCATCGAAATAATACAATGAATAGAAATTGAAAGAATTTAAGAAAATTATTTCATTCAAAGTTTTTGCAGCAATATTATAAAGAAACGATTGAATTTTTATTTGAAAGTAGAAATGAGTGCAAAAATTTCTGGAAGAAATGCGTTGAACATCATACATTCTTTCGTTGTATTGAAGTATTACCAATGAAAAAAGCTCGCGAAGGTCGTTTTTTCAGTAAAGGCTCCGCTTTTAGGTACTTTTTCTTTTGAATTTCTTTAATCACTTGTTGGAATACTAAAATGTTAAGGAAGAAAGAATGATAAATATGGATAGTACTTTCTCTTTTTTGCTTAGGTATGATTTTTTGTTGAAAATCGATATTATTCTTTTCATAATAGCTGTGAAGAATTATTTAATGTATATGTGAACATTGCATTATTTTCAAATTTATGAATCATTTAAAGGTAAAACTTTTTCTTTTTTTGCAGATATCAAGGTAGAACTCAAAAGCAATTAATTGATTATATTCGAGAACATAGAAAACGACGTGAACCATTTACTAGGTTTGTAAAATTTAAGACAGTTTTTTGCAGTGTTTTCAAAAGTTTCCAAGAGTTCAAAAGTAAGAAGGATTAAGGAGAAGTTTTTTTAGGCCAATTAAGTCAGGCCTTTCCTCATCATCTAATGGTCGACTATCACGACCAGCATTCTTTGACATCAATCATCCTGCTTATGCAACAGTGAGCGAAAGGTCAGTGAATCTGATTGGTTCTGGAACGTTACCTTCTCGAAATGTGCCAGTTTATTGCATGAATGGAGAACGATCGATGAATCATGGTACACATATAAATAGTCAGAGTCGTGGTCAAGGTGTAAGTCACCAACCAATGAGAACAGGTACGATGAGTTACTTCCCCGGTGAGATAACTCTGAGTAGCTATGGTACCACTACCAATACTCGTAATCATCGCCATCGAAATTCGCAGAACTATCCGAATAACAGTAATGCTGCGGCGGTGAATGGTGAACGAATGTGTCTGAGTGATATGGAAAGTAATGATGTATGTTCATTGGCTGGTGGTGGTAGTACGATGAATTCGCGGTATAGACAGCAGCATTCTGATTTTAAACCCATTATTAAATCTGTAAAAGCAGGAGCAATAGCAGCAACTGATAATACTAATATTGGTGATACATCAGATAATGATGCTATCACATCTGTATCGTTGCCAAATGTACTCGGTGATGATGATGTACAAATTGTTTGTCGTGAATTTGATCTTAAATGTGAATGTCCACCTAAATCTGCATCTGGTGACAATTTCCTAGAACTGCATCAATCATCACGTGATGATGATAACATCAGTGAAGGCTCCTATAAATTATCCGATAATGAACTACGATCAGCACATTCCGATATTCAACCTGTCCCAATGAATTCTGTTTATGCTACCACTTTCACGGCTAAACGTGTTGGTAATGTGATTGTTAAGAAAGTTGTTTCAAATGCTCGTTCTACACCTAACAATACCGATGATGAAGATCCATATGCCGAAAGGCGATTAGATAGTGGTAGAAGGAAAATGGAGACAGGACGATTGGATAATACTAGAAAATGGAAAAAGGAAAATGGAGATATAAAACGAGAAATTTCAAGACAGGTTTATCGGCAAGAACCTTCTAAAAACAGTCAGATTGAAAGTGATTCGCAACGACGACTCTACACTGAAAGGAAGCATCCATCGTCGGCTCCAGCTTCATACGCAGAATATCCGTCACATCAAAAATTAGTACCAATCGAGATTGATGGTCCAAATGTCGATTTGGATGAGCATAGGAAACTGAATAATAGGAAGGAAATTAATAGGGTGTCAAAGATACATGGTGCCACTACATCACAGATTCCAATTCGTGCACCTATTGCAAAAGATGAATCAGATCATTGGCCAATAAACATTGAATCTCAACCTTCTGCCTTACGTACCAAGGTAGTGCAACCAAATCATTCGAAAATTGTATATACATCTAAAGGCACCATCTTACAGAGGCCAAAAATAATCCCAGATGAAGATGACAAAAGCGCTAGTGAGAACATTTGCAGTGATGTTAGTTTAACTCATACCTCAGATACTGGTCAAACTGATATGATAATGGCTCAATCCCAAAAAGCTTCTAAAACTTATGGTGCGATTGGACCTTTGCCAGGTAAAGTTATAACTAAGGAAAATTTGGTAATCACACCAGAAGGTTATCGAGAACGAAAACCGAAACCGGCGGTGCCTCCGAAGCCAAACAATCTTGCTTGCACTTCAGAAACCAAATTTACAGAATCAGGTTCAGTCTTAGGTGTACCGGAAGCAAAATCAAGTCATCCAGTAATAAATCTTCAAAAAGAAGGAACTCTTTCATCTTGTACAATACCATCAAGCTCGTGTGAATTGAATCGTCCAACATTGATTTCGGTGCAAAGTGAAGATTATCCCGAAATTCAGAAATGCCATCTCTTCAACAGCGATATTCCATATGTACTTACAATGCGTAATATATCTACTGAAGCTGAAGGCTCATTTTCAACTTTTAAAGATACTAGTAGTAAGAGTACGATTTCAGAAGCTTTGGCTAGCACTATTGAGAAAGGCAGTTTGCAGAGGTCATTATCAGGCTCACGTAGTCCGGATAGCTTGAGGAGAAGATCCCTCGATTTGGTACCCAAAAAACGACTGCCTTCACCAGGTAATTTCTCTTCTCAAGATCATTCTTTATCATCTTCTACACCGGAATCTGGTGATGTCTTGGAATATTTGCTACGAAGACGAAATGTTGAGAAGTCTGCAATTGCAAAACGTGGACGTCGCAGCGATCCACGTCGACAAACTCAACCTGTTCGTTTTAACATTCCACTCAGTGGGGAAAATGAACGACAACAGATTGGTGCAATATCACAACCTAATTTAAATGATAACGATGAGGAAATGATATGTATTATGGAAAATGATGAAAGGCATGAACGAATGGAGAAAGATTTGAAAGAGAATGACCGAATCTACACAAATGTAAATATCGTTTCTGATTTTAAAACTGAAATAGAACAATCTTTGAAAACTCAGAAGGAGAATGAGGGACATTCAGGAAATAACGGAATAGCTATCATTGGAAATGAACTGATGAATTCAATCAATGCGGATGATTTTCCACCACCACCACCGCCACCTCTTCCTCCACCATTACCGATTGTTATGAAGCAATCGGCAAATTCGTTAGTACCACACTCAATCATCGAAGGAAGCATGCAAGAAAATATGGAAACATTACCATATGCCGATGAATCAACCTCTTCTCGAGCATCTTGCGCTTCCAAGGATGAAATTACCGATAAAATTTCATCAGCACAATCATCAACTCTAAAAACACCTACCGGTATCCTATGGACTGATTTTTAGACTGTTTATATTTCTGCAGCAATTGATCGATTCCTCTATCCTGAAGGGAATGTTTGTGTACTGAGTTGGTGGCGTAGCTTAATTTGCGTAAAATACTGAAAACTCGAAAATTGATGTATGATCTGATCGGTAATGAGTGAACTAATGTAACCTTAAAAATTTTATAAAATGAGACGTGCGGTAAATTAAAAACCTTTAAAGTTACGCCGCTTTTTTCGTTTTTTTGCTGATTCAGAATAGTTTTTCCTTAGTTTCATTAACGAGCTTTTTCTATGCATGTAATTAATCATTTATGTCAGCCGAGAATCAGCAATGAGCAAATTCACTTGTTGTAAACTTACAACGTTTACTTCTAATTTTATTCATTTTACTATGGAAGATTGATTTGATAACGAATTTCAAACTTCAAATCCTCCAAAAACATTTAAGCAAAACAAATGAAATGAATATAAATAGTTTTTTAGATTAGTAATTTTTACTTATATTTTAATATTATAATCCTAAAGATTGTAAATGCTCACTGTTGCTTCTTATGATAATGATGATAATATTTACATGATATCCTTTCATTAACCTATTCAAACTTATTTTTCTGCACTTTTTTCCTGAGTATAAATCTTTTTTTCACCTTTTCTGTTAAAAGAAATTTTTTAAAATTAGATAAATTTTGAAATAATTTGTCCAGTAAATGAGTGAAACAATGAAAATTGAAAGGATTGGTGAATTAATTTTGTGAGCTAATATAATTATTGTTATTAATTGTTGCTAATATTACTATTGCTATTAATTTATTATTGTAGTGTTGCTGTTGTTGTTGTTGTTGTTATGGTTGCTACCGCTGCTGTTATCGTTGAATTCTTGACACTATCCCTGGATAATCGAATTAATTGACAGCTTCTCTTTTCGGTTTTTTTTTCTACTATTTTAGATAGATGTGCATATCATTATTATTCATCGTTATTAGTGGCGGTGGTAGTGTTGTTGTTGTTAATGACTTTTTGGTGAACATCATTGATGGTCATTGATGATTGAATGATTGATGGTCATTGAACATCATTGATGATCCGTTAACTTCTCCTTTATTGCTATTACTACTGCTGTGTGCTTTTGTTTTCAAATTGTGCAATTATATTATATTAGCAATCGTCATATTCATAATGAACAACGATCTATGTACTAATTACATTCATAATTTCGATCTGAAATAGTAAACTCTTTCAACAAGAAGAAATCAATTAGATGGATCACATTGACAATTGCAATTTACTTTTTAAATTTTATTTTTTTAAATTAAAATAAATTTAAAAAGTGAGTATAAAAATTGAGAAGCCAATTGATTCATCTTTTATATCATTTATTAACTTGTATGCAGTTATTTTTGATAAATAAAGATTTTTCACAATTATTGTATTTATGGTTTTATCGCTTAGTTTTTCTTTCTTAAAATTGCTCAAAACCACTGTTGCTTCTGCTGTTTGTTGTTTATAGGAGAGTGAAAAGTAATTTAAAACAAAAGAAAAAAAGAATAATAAAGAAGTAGTGCGAATTCAAAACTTCCACTAATGATGTCCTTCAAATATATTACGCCATCCTATAATTGCGAATGAGTAGCACATGTTATTTTGTTATTAAACAAGCAAATTTGCATAAATGACCCATCGGTCATTCATTCATATCTTCCATTATAACTTGTAACTTTATGTAGTTAAAAATTTAAAAGTATTTTTGGTAAAATGTAATTGAACGACCATCAAACAGTTAATATCTCCTCTTTTTCAAGCGGTATCCATATTTTTAAGGCCAGGAAAAAATTTTTGAAAATGATTCATAAAACAATCCTCTGAATAAATGCATTATGTAAATTTGCTCATTTTGAATTTTCAATCCTCTACTTCAAAAAAATAAATGGAAGATGACATCAAATGAATCAAAATTTTAAGCTCCAAAGTTGAAGAAGAAGCTGGCATAAATTTATAGCAAAAGCTGATGAAGCAATTTTTTGAATAAATTTAGTTAACTTATATTTCGAGGCTCATTAAAAAGTTTGTTTAAATGATTTGATTATATTGCCAGAATTATATTTGATAAAGAAAGATGCAATGTAAATGCAATTTACACTTACTTCTTTTGATACAATGAAAAAATTTGTTTAGTTATTCATTTATTCTATTTTATGTTTATTTAAATCGACCAGGTCACTCAAACACAACTAAAAAGTTGAACTCAATGAGTTTTAATGAATTAAAATCTAAACTGAAATTGAAATTATTCAAATATAAATATTTACTGACTTGTTACCTTATGCAAGTTATATATGTCAAAGTAGCAATGTTCAACTGAAATGATCAAATTTTTTTCTGTCATAATCCATTTCATTTAATTTTAGGAAAAGCAAAATTAACATAAATATTACATCCATTGGGTTCAAAATTCAAGTTTCAATTGGTGCTTTTATTTGTTGTGAATTTTTAATTTCTAACGAGCGATACATCTCCCATTTTGCTGTATGTAATACCATCATTTTATATTGTATGTAATCAACTCATGCCAGTCTTTCTTCATATATTTGTGTACTATTTGCTAGTCTTTTTCTTTGCTAATTATTTTTTCACCGTTTATTGTTTAATTGGGAGAAAACAATTATGTCTGTTTTATATGAAATTTAAGCAAATTTAATTTCAATTTCAAATGAAATCTTTGAAGATATGCTTCAATGATACTTTTCATTTTTTTTTCATAATTTATGATAACATAAAAAGTAATCATTATTATATGAAATGATTTTGTAAGCACCATCATAAGGTGTTTTGATCAAGTGCCATCATTTTCCCCATCTGATTACTTTTAATAAGTGCTACCTGTGCTATTAATTAATCAAGCAAACTTTAGTTTATTTATTTAATTTATAATAATCCTAAGAGGAATTGGATGTGTAATTAAATATTTTCGTAAAATCATCCATCACTGGATCAATTTTTATAAACATTACATTATTATCAATCCAAGAAATTAATCTTCCTATGGTCTAACTCCAGAATATCATCTAACTGTCGTCGACAACCATACTGTTGTAAATTTTCCATATCTATGTCGTCTTCATTACACTGCACACAAACACTAATCTAAAA